TGGCTCTCCTAGTGCTTAGCCACAAAGGAGTCAAGTAGTAGACCTTGTGACCTTACCTGATTTGAATTGACAGGAAAAATGTATTTTTTACTAGAGCTATGAATATTGATGGTGTAACAGCATAATAAGATAATGTAAAATATTTTATAAAAATCAAAGAAAAGGGTAAACAGGCTCATTGGTGACAGTACAAGTGTAGCCATCTATGAGTAAAAATAATCAAACAAGTAAACTCACAGTGGGCGTGGCACATACGTACACGTCATTCCTGTCGGCATTGAGTTAACAATGATTGTGGTGAACAGAACTTAAGAGTTAACAACACAAAATACTAACCTTTAATCTTTCATTCTCAGCATGAAGCCTAACTACTTGCTGTCGCTCTGCATGAATGAAAACATTCACATCTGAAAGCGCAGATCTCAACTCGATGAGTTCTCGTGTCATTTGCTCCCTTTCCTTCTCTACAAAGGATGGCTTTGCTGCTTGCTCATACCTATGTGACAGGAGAAAAAAGCACCAGAAAAGATAATTTTGAGTAAGACTTTACTTTGTGATATAATTGGAGAAGAGATAAAATTGTAAGTGAAAGCAACCAGACTCTTCCTTGGAACAGGATAATAAATCCAAGTCATAACACAGTAAACATACACTAATTCATTTATTATCACTAAAATTTGTTGACAGTTGATAATTCATATGATGTTGACAACAGGAGATCTTACCTCACTCAATTATATCACCATTGATAACATACTAAACAACAAGAAGGTAAATATTTTGAGAGACTTTCATCAGCAAAAACTCACTTCCTAAGAAAATTTTCCAGTTCCTGGGTCTCCTGCTCAAACTTTGCTACCTTTTCTCTGTAGTAATCAAGGAGGCGCTGTGATGGTTGTAACTTGGCCAATTCTTCTTCAACATTCATATCCTTGGGAGAATAATTCTGGTCAAAACTAATCAAATATAAAAATTCACAATACAGATACACAATCCCTCACCCAAAATTCTGCAGATTGAAAATTTTCCAGATGGTTCTTTGCATAAAAAACTCATCAGTTGTCTAACCCCAACATGAAATAAATGGTCATCAGAATAACACTGACGCCACTAATGTACCTCTTCTCCAGGATCCTTATGCAAGCTATTTATCTTTTTCCTACTTCATTTCTCTAATACAAATATACTGTTAGTCATATACACTAACAGTATATTTGTATATGGGTGTTTACCTATTCCACTCAGTACTAATAATCATGAGGTTCACTGCAGAGACATTACTGTGTTTATTTGCAGAAAAAAAAGGAAAAAAAAAAAAAAATGATGGAATATCTTGAAAAAGTAATTTTACTTGAACTACTATTCTCTTTATCATTAATCTTGAATAAATATGGATTAACATAGGTGATCTTACATGATTTCCACGACATGTATATTTGGGATTCTCCTTGCTGCCACCACCACCTTTTTCCTTGCCATTTTTCATTCTAAGCAGCGAATCTCCAAGCCTGAAAAAAAGAATATCACATATTCATTTATGAACTACATATTCAAAGTAAACTTGCATAAAAATAAAGAGAAGGTGACTTCAAAGTATTTATAGTTATTATCATTAAACTACTGTAACAGTCAAAGCAGAGGCGAATGATAAAGAGAGAAGATATGAATGAGGAAGCTGACAAGAAAGAGGAAAGAGAAGAGAAAGGGGAGAAAACAGAGGAGCAGTGGATGGAGATAGAAGAGGAGGAGAAAGAGTAAGAGAAAGGAAGGGGGAGTGGTAGAATAAGGAGTCTAGTTAGAAATGTAGGTTATGTCAAATATTATTATGTAATTTACTGTCATATTTGACATCTACTTCCATTACAATAGGCTTTGAATACTGCCCAACATGAAACTAAAGCTCCATCACATATTACTTAACCCATTCACGCCGGGTGTCACGTATATGTGATGGGCCCACTGCGAGTTTACTTGTTTAATTGTTTTAACACATAGATGGCTGCACTTGTACTTGTACTGCCTGTCTCGCCTGTTTACCCTTTTCTTTAATTTACGAAAATATTATACGTTATCTTATTTTGCTGTTACTAACATTATAGTAATTATAATGTTTATAATAAAAATAACCGTCGATATTCATTGTACTAGTAAAAATACATTTTCCCGCCAAAAGAAATCAGGTAAGGCAGAGCCATCTAGTGTAGAGAAATTTCACAAAAAGTATAAAATATGAGCACAGCATTTTCCCCCATTTTTTGTTCATTTTTACCCGGCGCGAATGGGTTAATACAACATCTCTTGATATCTAGGCATTTGGTCATAGCATTCCTTCCTTCCTTCTTGTTGCTGGAATGGGTACATTTTTCTGGCACTTTTTCCTTTAACTTTTATCCAGTGAATGTGAAACCTATACTCATATATATATGGAACGGTTTCC